GCCTTATTTTAGCAGAATATGGGGAAATAGTTGTGCAAACCTGTTATGCATATGGAAACTATTATCCCCAAACCTTGGCTAGCTTCACTGGAACACAAAAAGGCTCATTGCCTCTCAAAGGACTATTTTCCTGTAGTGTTTCAGTCTTTTCTTGCTCCCACTCCTTTCGACACTGAAGCTGTTCAAAACAATCTATCACTTTCTTCTTTTTGTCCTTCAGATGAAGGGAGAATATTTTCCCTGTCTACAAGAATAGCTGCACTTTGTTACTTAAACATTTAAATGGAATTAATCCAGGGCAGAAACCTGGTCTGGAAATCTTCAGCTCAAAGGCTCAAAATTTCAGCAGGCAATTAGCATTAGAAAATACAGCCATTAAACACGAACAGCTTGATTGTGATATTCCAAACATACATCCCAAGAATGAAGAACAAGGGGCAGAAGTACTCTGCTCCAGGCTGAGCACAGACACCTATACCAGTGGAGAACTGGGGGGAAAGGAAGCCTCTAGTGAATAGTGCCACTTCAGTATGAGTCTGAACCTAGCGAAGGACTGCACCTGCAATAGCTCTGGCAATCCTTATTTGGTGGATCTCAAGTACTTTTACGCCCTTCCATTTCTATCACTGAACCCCTTGCCCTCTTCAGCATACTTAGCTTATCTGAAGTAGAAAGTACTGGGTTTTTTTTCCTGCTTACAGATAGGGACACTAAGATATGGGACCTCAGACATATCTTGGTTCCTAATTCAAAGGAGAGTCAAGAACTCAAGTGCACATAAAGGTCTGGGACAACCACCCTTCAAAGGCTGTGTCCCTGTTCTGTGTCTGCAAATTATGCTGGGTTTCCTGAGCACTGGGCTTGGGCTTTGACACCTGGAGGTGCTTTCTTCTGTTAAAACAGCTACTCCTGAATTCAGTGTACTTTCTTGCTGACAAAGGAAGAGGGACCACCACACTTAAACCATGGACAGACAGGAGCAGGGCATCCCTGCACTGCGGGTTTCTTCCTTTGGCACTCTGGCCACGACCCCGCATCAACTCCTCGCCCACTGCAACACTAAATCTCCCTGGGCAATAGGCCAAGGATAAGGACCTGGCCATGCACCCTGCCCTCACTGACCCCTGATGGCAGGTGCCATCATTCTTGCTTGAGCATACCTTCACACCACATGGAAAGCTAGGCACTGATTCCTTAAACCTCCTTCTTTCTCCCTCTGAGCTCCAAGAACAGTGGGAAGAGCCACATCCCACAGAGAGATATTTCCTCTCCCCTCAGATTCTACAACATTATGGAATATCTTAAGCAACCACAGTTAAACCCAATGGCAGCAGGTTTCCAGAGAATTCGTTCAGGTGTTTTGGAGCTGAGCTCTTTGTAAAGCTTCTTGAAGCTCTTTGTAAAGCTTCTTGAAGCTGAGATCTTTGTAAATCTTCTTGAAGCTCTTGATTTATTCCTAATGTTGGTTCCTGAGAATCACACCTTCAACCTCCAAAGTATCAAAATGTGTCTTTTGTTAGAGGATTAAACTACTGCTTAGATTCATTAGCAAGGGTAATTTTGGCCTAATTACCCTTCTAATTTCTATGTTATCCCTTGTAAGAATATGCCCTCAGAAATTAGTAAAATGATTTATAATATATGCTAATCACCGTAATCTGATTTGTCTTTAATTATATATGTAATAGGGAAGCTAATTGGAAGATGAAGGTATTCAGAAGGGCCAAACCACATAAATCAGGAAAAGCACAGAATATTATCATTAAACAACAAAATAATGATGCTTTTGAGTATATGGAAGGATACTTGTTTCCTATAGCAGAAATATCAGATTGTTTCACTTCTTTTAGAGATGCTTACTGTAGCAAAACTGATTCATAAATCTAGCAACGACTTAGGTTTTGGCCTTAAAACGTCTGCCTAGACTGAAATGGAACACCTAATATGAGGACAAAAATATGGGAAGCTTATTTGCAGAATAGAAGCAAAGTATAAATAAAGCTGCAAATTATAACAGTGGTTTCCAGCTGAAATTTTATTAGCTTCAAAATATCCTGCTTGCAGAAATCATGTCACTGAAGTCTCCTGAAGTTTCCTCTGTGTTTAAAAAACAGATTGGGCTGGTGGATCTTTTAGCAGCTTTGCAGGATTTTTTCCCTTCCCATGGATTTAATGGACGATAACAGAAAAAGCAGCAATTTCCTCAGCATTTATTATTTCTGGTCTTGAAAAGTATATTTTTTATGAAGTCCTGTCAAATTCTACCCATGCTTTAAACGCTGCAGTGTAATGTGACTTTGCAAAGCACAACGAGGGAGGGAGAAAAGAAATTGCAGCTCTTCTAGAAAGTTGTCAGAAGGGAGTAATTTAAAAATATCTTATTACACAAAAGGACATAAACTAGCAAAAAATGAAGATACTATAGTTATCCATGGGGGATTTTTGCATAAATATTTGAAAGGATAAGCATTTTCTGGATTGCTTGCTTTCTGGCTATAGAAGTATTCAGATGTAGATTTGGCATTTGTCTGGGTGAAAACCAGTGTTTTGTTTCATCGTGGGGTTTATTATGGGGTTTTGATTGGGTGGGGGTTTTTTCCTATTATTAGACTACAGCTGATCAAATAACAATATGTAATTGCACCTTGACCTCTCCAGTTCAATAAGTACCTCACTGAATGCTTGTCCTCAGTGGCAGAGTCTAGTAACAGGCTGCAGTGCAAATGGAATGCTGATGCACATGCTCTGCCCCTCTCAGCTCAGCATTTGCCAGGGCTTGTCTGACAATCCTACTTGCGCTGTCTTTACTTTGTGCCTGACCCTGGAATTCCATCTATAATGGATTTTCCAAGGTCAGGTTGGACAGGGCTTTGGACAACATGGCCTAGTGGAAGGTGTCCCATCAGGGGGTTAGAACTAGATGATCTTTAAGGTCGCTTCCAACCCAAACCATTCTGTGATTCCATGATCCTATGATTCTATTGAAAAAGACAAGTTGCTAACATTTACACCAGTATTCAAACATTAAGTTGGTCTGGTACCATGGGTAAACTACTCATCTTTGATCAAGTGTGTGGAGGGCACCCACATCAGATTTTCAGGTATTTTAGGAAACTTGAGTTATAATTTAACAAAATGCTCAAGTGCACAGTGAAATCCATAATGTCTCTCTGGGTAGAAGCTTTCAGAAACCAGAGAGACACCCTGGCTCTTCAGCTCTACCCCACAAACCAGCTTGTGTAACTTAACGCAGAGGGAGAACTGCTGTCCCCAGGAAAAGCACACTGTCCTCTCTTGGTACAGCATGATGCTATACATGGTTACACTCTCATTCATAGAAAAATCCCATCATCCCATCAATCCCATAGACACATCCCATCAATGTGTCAGTGCTTGCATACAAACCATTTTCTTCCCACAAAAGTTCTCAAGGAAGCTTCATTGAATAATAATCTGCAGCTTATTATTCAGCAAAAATACAACAGAATCTGCTATTGTTCAGCTTTTCAAATCAGAGTATAATTATAAGAAAGAGACTCAAACATTTAAAATATCCCTTTGGTACCTTCACTCTGACATATTGGTGGATAGGGTGATGGCCACAGCAAAGCCAGGAGATGGAGTGGACACCTTAAAGCAAAGCACAGTAAAACTCCCTTACCTACATGATCAGCAAGAACAATGTGTGATGTAAAAAATCTCTCATTTACACTCTCCTTTGGCATTTAAACACAAAAAGATAACAGCTGATATTTTTATGGTGAAATTAGAAGCCTTGTACTGAAGGCCATTACAGGTCTTCAGAGTTAGTTGCACTTCTTTCTGTGGCTTTATGTCAGCAATGGATTTGACCTGATGAATATCATGAGCATCTCCCAATTTAGGCAATGTAAGGACATCTCCTAATTTAGGCAACTTAAAACATCAACAGTTATACTTTGTAATGGCTTATGTGTATGTGAGGGAAGATCCCAGCCTTTCAGCAACTGGCAGCTGGGATCCCAGCACAGCTAGGACTGGGATGCCATAATGTCTGCTAATCTTACAAGAACTAACCACGCAGCGGGATGTGGCTTAAAGCTTGTTCCTAATTTTTTAATGTATTTTATTAAATAGGGAATTAGGGAATCAGAGCACATTCATACATTTGCTGCTCCTCTGTCAATAGGACGAAACCAGGCCAGCTACACAGAATAAATTAAACATAAGCCAGCTGAAATATTAATTTAAACTAACGCTCTGTATAGACACAGATCTTTCAGGACGACAAAATATTCAAGAGATTTTTCTAATTGTGAATTTGCAATATTTCCTGATAATTTGAAGAATGAACTTTCCCATAAGGTATCACAAATTGCATTTTTGCAAACCATCCACCAGTTTGGTTGGTAACTGAAGTCATTTGGTATTGATTACTGCTAGTGGAACTTTATATGGCAACAGATCTAAGAAAAAGGACCTCTACCTTTTAAAATGGTTCACAATAGTGAAACAGTATTGTTACAATTGGGAAGCTTTCAGCATAGGCTTACAAATAGCTGGTAACGTTCTGAATACTTACAGCCACTTAACAGCATAGAATCATAGAATGGTTAGGATTGGAAAAGACCTTAAGATCATCTAGTTACACCCCCCCTGCCATAGGCAGGGACACCTCACACTAGACCATGAGCAACACCACCCAAGCATGAAGAGGTGGAGTTTCTTTCAACAAGCATATCACTTTATTTAGCAAGACTCATCACAAAGAGGAAATCTCAGTAGATCAGTGCAAGTCTCCACAGACCACAGTGGGTCTTCAAACAAGCCTTTATGTGGGAACAGCTTTGTGCAGATACAATCTGTCTACAAATGTAGCCACAAGCTAGAAGATAACTTCTGTACTATTTAAAGAAGTGTCAAATGGGAAAGGTGTCAAATCACCCATCCCTTGTGGGCCTCATTTGACCTTCATCTAACATTTTTCCATGGATGTATCACTGAGCAAGGCCAAATGTGGCCACACACGATCAATTATGAAAACACCCATAGAAAAGATACAGTGTGGTGAAGAATGATATGAACAAATCTGGATGACATTTAACATAAGAGTTAATGGTCATATTGTTCTTGGGGTTTATTGAAAATTACCAGGCAGGCTCTGGAAAATATGTGCTGTTGGGAATCTGTTCAGAGTTTTTATCAAAGCTTCCTTGCAATTAGTGGCAAATTACTGCTCATTCCTCTGGAATTCCTTGAAATAAGATCACCCTGATTTCAGCCTGATACTATTCATGGCCTCACAATCTGCAGCTATATGGGAAACATATTCTAATAATAAATGCAATAGCACGTATTTGTGTGGCAAGCAGCAGTGATAAAACCTTAGCACCATTCAATAAGCATTTTCACCATCAAGGGGCTTAACTTGCCAACCTTAATCTTTACAGCTCTCTCTAAGGTGTGTGATCGGTTTATCTCAGTAAATGCAGTGATAGGAGTGGCTAATCTCTGCATCCCAAGGCTGGAAGGTCGCACCCTGATAAACTCAGTGCTGGCATGACAATGTACTGCAGCTCACTCTGTCATCTCAGAGGTAGGCTCAGCCGATGGAGGTGCTGTTCAAATATGCTGTTTTTTCTTGTTCAAGTACTTCACAGCCCTGTGAGTTAATTATTACCCCATTTTTCCTGGCCAGAGCGAAGGCACACATATGGGAGTTGCTTGCCTGAGGCCTTGGTGCTGGAGCTGAACCAGGAGCCAGGAGTTTAAGGAGCCTGTTGGCCTCATCCTCCCAGCACTTGCAAGCATCTCGGCTTCTGGACTGCTTTTCCCTTGCACCTCAGAAAGGGGAATTCTTTCACTTTCCAAGACTGATTTCTCCCTGGGGGTCACCTGAAGTCCCAGGTGAGACTGGAGGTACAGCGTCTGGCTGGTGCAGACTGGACAGGCTACAGAGGGTGAAGGTCCTCACTGGAGATGTGGTGGAGGGGAGCTCCTTGCTCTTTCCTTCCCACCACAGCTGCTGTCAAGGATGACAGGTGAAAGTGTGAAGGAAGGAGAGCAGGGACAATGACCAGCCTTTTATCCTAAGGGAAGGTTTCCATCTGCATGTCATCGTGGGCTGTGCTGCTCTCTTCTTTCCAAGGGGACGCACAAAGTCACTTCAGGGTGAGAGGCAACTAGAATTAAATGTTCCTTTATTGCAGAGCTGCACAAAGTCTTGATGCAGCAACATCTACCTCATCTACAAGCATGGCGCTCATGGGCCACAAGGGTTCACTAATGGAAAAATAGATTATTAGTAGCTACATCATTGAGAAAAAGGTGGCACTAGAAGTATTACAAATAGCTGTTTGTTGTTTTTATTTCAAAGCCACGAGGTATGAGGCAAAGAAGATTAACCATGAGGGAAATAGTGGGAGTGGTGTCACTGCTTTCATGGTTGTTCCGAACAGCAGGAACAATGGGAAAGCATTGTTAATTTAAACTGCAAAATATTTTCAAGTAATTTATGCAGCAAAAAAAAGCCTCTGACCATTGCAACAGCCAGAGTGAAGGCGTGCAATTATTTTAAAGGCATAGATGTTACTAACAGTTCCTTTCAGTGGATAGGATGTATAATGTTTCTTTTCCTCAAATAACAAAAATGCTATTAATCTGATTAACAATGAACCTTCAGAAATTAAAAATGCAGCATGGAAATCTTGATCAGTACTCATCACTACCCGAAGTTAATGATTGTTAATGATTAATTAACAATTGCTCAAATGAGTTCCTGCAGCAATTGGATAAAATTATATAGGAAATTACTGTGCCCTGCTGCTCTAGGCAAATGATTCCCCCAGTGTGTGTTTATAGATGTAAATTGCACAAAGCAAGCAGCAGAACAATTATCCAAGCTAATCACTCCTGGAACTTGGACTATTGTTTACCTTTTATCTGGGGCTGTGAAATGGACAGATAATGCCCATTAAAAGGTGTATCACCAGTGACTGTTGCTCACCAAGAGTGCCAGCCTTGCAAAAAGAACATATGCTTTTCGTGCTCCCCCATAACCTTCTCGTTTGGAGACTCTTTTCTTCAGTGATCACTGTCAGGGATTGTAATGATGGCTTTGTTTCTCTTCAAGGGCTTTATCCAGCAGAGAAATGCAGACAGGCAACTTCATGTGCAGCTGTGTGACCACTGGTTTCAAGGAGCACCAGAGATGCATTTGCATTTATGCCACTGCAGGATCAGTTCATGGTCGTTTATTTTACTTAGGTGTGCTTGCAACAAAGCAAGGATGGAAAGTGCTTTATTTTATGTGGAAAAGAAAATGGGAGGGGAAGAGGAAAAATGATGCAGTCATCAGAAAATTATTTGAAACAGTAACAAAGTGTTAATAGTCTAATGAAGAGGAGAGATGGAACACAAACCTACAAAGCTTGTTGCATGGTTGTATTTTGTTTAATAAGAGAATTTATTTTTAAGTGAATGGATGATTCAAATGGAAAAATATGTTCTAAGCATTCATCGTCTGTGGGAGAGTATTGTTACAACATGCATAATGTGGTTTCGGAGACACCAGTTTGGCTTTATAAGATGTGGGCTTCAGTGGTAAGAGAAGTCTCTGCTACTCTAAAAATCTGTCAAGGTTCCAGAAATAAAACTTTTTTTAATGGAAAAATATAGCATCATTATTCCCAAGCTGTTATTACAACTTGGTCTTGGATGCAGAGAAATCCGTAGTTAGTTATCCATGCTACTGAATCATTTGATAGTCTCCTTGAAAGATACCATCCCATCCATTTTATGACATTATAGTAACACAGCTACAGTGTAATCATCTTTCCTTTCACAATATATGAGGGTCATAACACGGCAGTGGGGAAAATGTCCACATCCTAAAACTTTCACTGCTCCTTCTGGGCCATAAAGCCCTTACCTACATCTGCTGTTGTACTTACTTTCCCTTCCCTCCTGTATTCATTTATTCAACATGGAGATCCACTGGCACATGAGCTTCTTATTCAAGTTTCCAAAGACAAAAGCTTGCTCCATGGATGCAAAGGAAGCCCAAGTTCATTGTTACATCCAAAACCAGTTCTGTCAATGATTGCATCTGATGGAAACACATGGAGCAGCACTTATTCACTGCAAGGTGTTTGTACACAACATGTGGGGAAGGTACGTGTGATCCTGGGCATATATCAGCATATTAATGTGAGATAGCCTCTAGTGTTTTAGGCTGAGGTGATTTGCTGAAATAGGTAGCAGAGACACAAATAGGATCCAGCTTCTCCATAACTCAGAATCAAACCCAGAGGAGTACTAAATTGAAAATAAATGTACCAGATAAATTTTTTAGTGGCTTTCTCTAAGAAAAAATTGTGAGAGGATTGCATTTATCACTTTGGTTGCATATTTGTTTAAAACATTGCAAGTGAAGTGATTCGCCGTAGCACAAGAAGAGTTATTGCTTGTACAGCATAACGTGGGCTGATTTGAATTGTCATTCCTAGCTACACTACTATCTGGAAAGAGAGAATTTTTCAGTGTTCGCAATTAAACCCAGTTACAAGTACTTAGAGAAATGGATAGATATATTTAAAACAAATAGGTAAGCTGCGGGGGGGGGGGGGGGGGGGGGAAATAAAAAAAAAAAAAGAGAAGGGATCTGTTACTGAAAAGCAGCCATTACCACATCTGTAATTCCTGCATTTCAGGCCTGCCAGAGCCCAGGACAAGAGAAAATAACTTGCTTAATTCGTTAAGAAACAAAGCAAAGATGAAGCATCATTTCTGCTCTTTGATCCTAACTTCCTGAGGAATAATGTTTATAGTCAGAGCAAAGATGAAAATGTCCATATACCTCTCATCCAATCTAAAAAATGAAATACATTTCATTTCTCCACAAAATAAAATGCTAAAAAATCTTCAAGTAGGCGAATGAAGACATTGCCAGGTACTGTAGGACACTAGCTGTAGTCCTTTAACATTACTTTGTTGTTAAGAGACATAGAGAATGCACACTTGCAATTTGCTCTGACTTTGGCCCAGGCCTTAGCTTTGTTCAATAAACATCACTGACCACACCACTTTATATATACATACACACATATATATCTATAACCAAAAAGATTACCTATTTAATGTGTATTTTTGTAAGCAATATTCAGAAAAAAAAATTATGAAACTGAAAACTTTAGAGCAGTAGCAGACACACCAAAAGAGAAAACGAACCTTTTAGTAATACTTATACTAGTGACTTGCATCAGCAATCCTGATGCAGACTGAAGTTAAGTCTCAGCAGCCAGCTCTAACACATGCTGCATACAGTTTGGAAAGATCAATATTTTGACATCTTTATTTTAGCTAAACCTCAAATTAAGACCGAACTCCTATCACAGAAAGTTTTCTTACACCACAGAATGCTCCCCAGGGGATGCCGTTTGCCCCAGCTTCCAGTAATTCAGAGCTCCCTTTATGGCAGAAGTTTGTGAAGATGCATTTAAAATAAAAGAAACACAGGTTCCAGTTTCCTCTTGCGTATCATTCTAGGCCTGGGGAAATTCAAGTCAGATAGAAAACTTTTCTCCGACAGACAGGAGAAATCCCAGTTCCACAAAAGGAAGCTGCACACAAGACCTGAAAAATGGGACAGCTGCACCAGATCTGGCAGGTAACAGAAGTGTGTGAACTGAGAAGTGTCCCTAATGATAAAGTTTAAGGAAATGGCCTTAATTGGTCCCTTTGAAAATGCTGAAGAATTGAGTAAAACTGATGAACCAACAAGGACCATGGAAACAAGCCACTACAGCCACTCAGCCAAAACCAAGCAAAGCAATGAGCTGGCCAAAACAAGGAATCAAGAAGAAGCTGAGCTTTCTTGTACCCACAGTGCTCTTCTGTGTTAAAACACATTCTAGCTGTAGAGCAAAAGACCTGCCTTCCTGTCCAACTCCTCACCTCCTTTTGCCCTTCAAATTACTTTTTAAAACATGCTCCCTCACTACAAGGCATCAAATACTGATGCTCTCATTCTGTGTGTACATCACCCAGTACAGACACCCTCTGGTATTAACAGCCTGTTTGAGCAAATAGCAGCATGAGGACCTCAGGTTCTGGCCAGGAATAGTATACGCACATGCCTTTCAAACCTTCATTGAAATGCTGCTCACTAGCCTGCCCTCATGAGCTAACTGCTGCACTCTGCATGACCTCCCTTCTTCCCTGTCCTGTCACTTCACTTGAATTACGAACAAACTTAATAACATCTCTGAGATTTCAAAGGTTTTACTCCAGGATCAAGAGGCTACATATGAGGATGGTGGAGTATGTCCTCCCTTTCAGGCCCTGCAAAAGTGGTGGTGGTGGGAGCAGTTAGGAGCCCTGTGCTCCTAACAGAGAAGAGGGACGCAGGGATACTGCGGGTACCTCTGCCACAGCACTATCTACATCAGATATTTCAGCTGAGATTTCAGGAGATCCAGATGTTTCAAGCAGCCACTGATGAAGGACTACATAGTTCAGCCCTACATTTTAAGCAACACTGAGAGCTGACATTTAGCATCTAAATTGTACAGACTGGGCACACATTGGATAAAAACTTGCCTTTTGCTGAAACATTTTCATCTACAGCAGAAATTTGGAGCTCACTCTCTTTCTCATCCCTCTGTAAATCATTTAAACTTTTGTTTTCAGAGCACCTGTAGCACAGGGCACCAGCAACACCCACTTGCTGCTTGTCTGAGGGCTGGAGTGGGGCCCATATGCTGCTAGAGTGACATTTCCAAACAAATGCTGTCAAACTGTCATAAATATTTCCAACACCAGGTCTCTGTGTTCAGACTCTTTAAACACATGCTAACACAAGTCAGAATGGTACTCAGTGAGGCTCCCCTGGGACTTAAGGTAAATTTGCGGGTTTGAGTTTGTTGAGTTGGGCCTTTTGCAACATAACTTTGTACTCAAGATGAATGAGGAGCTGTATCCTGGAAAACTGGATTCCTGGAGGCATTTTCATTGATTGCTGTTTTAAAAAGTGCTTTAGAAAATATGGAAGTGCTTCAGTTCAAAAGGCTGAGGAGTACAACGTATTTTATGAGCTTCAAGTGCATAAATGTTCTAAGTCTACCATCTCTGCTGAACCATCTGGAACACATGTTGTGGAAAGTACAGAAAGACAGCACAGCATCATTTCTATGTGTCATGGTTGAAGCCCAGCCGGCGACTCAGAAGGACACAGCCGCTTGCTTACTCCCCCTCTTCCTTCCCCCCACTCCTGGAGGGATGGGGAGGGGAATCAAAAGAATGTAACTCCCACGGGTTGAGGTAAGAACAGCCCAGTAACTAAGGTATAACACAAACCACTGCTGCTACCACCAATAGTAATAATGATAAGGGAAATAACAAGGGAAGAGAATACAATCGCTCACCAACCGCCGACCGATACCCAGCCCGACCAGAGCAGTGATCTAACCCTTCTGGGTAACTGCTGCTGGTTTATATAGCAGGCATGACATGCTGTGGTATGGAATACCTCTTTGGTCAGTTTGGGTCAGGTATCCTGTCTCTGCTTCCTCCCGGCTTCCCTTCCTCCCTGGCAGAGCATGAGACTCACAAAGTCCTTGGTCAGAGTAAAGATTACTGAGCAACAACTAAAAACATCGGTGTTATCAACACTATTCCCATGCCGAAAGTCAAAACCACAGCTCTGCACCAGCTACTAAGAAGGAGAAAAATGACTGCTACTGCTGTTCTCACTATGCTGTACATCCAAACAGGTGATCATGTCTTCTGTGGAGGGTCAAATCCTCACTCAGCTCCGAGACCTGAGCCATGTGTCTGAGCAGGGCTGGCAAAATCAGTTCCTGAGGTCACTGCCCTGTTCTGCAAAGCTACTAAGGGGAACCTACTTAAGAGCCATTCAAGCTGATGGGATTTCGGATGTATCCTTAAGTGTTCATTTTACTGAACAAAAACCATTTTTGGGAACTCCTTTGATAAAAATACTTTAAATACAAAGCCCAAATCCAGCCAATTGCTCCAGGCTGTAAATCAGTGGAGTCCACTGACCTCCTGAGCCACACAGAGTCTGTCCCAGCTGTGTAACATGATGAAAGCTCCTGCTGAGATCAAGCCCATAGACCTGGGACCAGTGTGGATGCTTGAGTGCCTGCAGCTCAGCAGTTAGGCTGTATATACGATGCACACAGGTGCCTCAGTAAACACAGAGCAGGAGGAACCCAGCTTAGTTCACAGGCTCAAGGGGTTACTATAGAGAGGTAGAGACCAGAAGGCAAAAGCAGCCTTCAGCCCAGCCCCTTGGGACCCTGGCTGTGCTCTGGCCTCAGAGGTGTCCCTTCCTCTGCACACAACACATGGCTTTCGAAAACAAAACAGCCTGTTTATCTTCCAAACCACAGCTGGAAGAGATGGATGAGTAGCAGCTGGGACAGTAACTGGTCAGAGCCCTTGCTCAGAATTCCTAGG